ACCGTTGGAATGTCAGAGATTGTAGCCAGCCGAGTTTGTTTTGTGCGCAAACAGTGTGTGTGTGTTCTGATGGTACTTCTACCGTTGGAATGTCAGAGATTGTAGCCAGCCGAGTTTGTTTTGTGCGCAAACAGTGTGTGTGTGTTCTGATGGTACTTCTACCATTGGAATGTCAGAGATTGTAGCCAGCCGAGTTTGTTTTGTGCGCAAACAGTGTGTGTGTGTGTTCTGATGGTACTAAGTGGCTTTTGTGTTGTTTTTATTTTTTAGAACTAAGCTACAATAGGCTATCTGCCGTACCCATCGCAGGGTATCGAACTCCGGATTTTAGCATTGTAATGTTTTGTGTCTCTACTTTTCTAATTAAACCGAACGATTAGACAAATTATTAATTAAAATCCGGTTTTGTTTGGTTAGCCCACTGCTACTTACATGAAACCACAATGTGTCAAATTTCATACCTTTAACCAATGGCCGTCTGTCTTTCTATTGATACGTCAGGCTTCACTTTCAGCCATATTTGCCAGATTATAAAGCTAACATAACCACATCCGTACTTTTGACTCGTTTCTTTTATGCTGAATAAAGCCTATCTGGAATTTTTACGATATATTATGTCAACGAAGCGTGCCACTCAAGGGTATCACAGTTCCCATCATTTTACAGGACACAAACTTTATATTTTACGGTCAGAAACTTTCAGCACTTTCAGTTGTTCTGTGATCACGTTTTTGTGTTTTATTGTAAATAAAGTGATTTACAAACCAACGTGTTTCCCTTTATTGTTAACTTTATATGGTGTGTAGTTGATATCCAAGACGTAAATAGGGAAATAAAGTGGAGTATCGTATCAAGATACCACCAGGGGGTTATGGACCCGCCTAGTATAGTGATGATAGGATATGTTATATGTTTAGTCGATATTTATTTTTAATAACAGTTATTTGTATTTCTAAAAATTTAAATATATGTTTAATAAATATTCACTCATGAAAACCCAACAAACAAAAACAGTGCTTTCGTGAATACCTCGTAAACTACACTATTCCCTTCCCACGCCTCCCCTCCTTGAACTGACAGTGTGATCAATATGCTCACCGTGTATCGTACAGATGGAACCTTTGTAACATACACGTGGGCCGTAAATGTGACTCATCACCACACTAGTTATTGTATCTCCAAATTAACTTAAAACAACACTGCATTTGGACTAGAAATTCAATATTTGTGTCGCCGTTCTCCAGATAGCTCAACGGTAAATCTGCTTATAAGGCGAAAAATCTGGTTTCGATACTCCCGGTGGGTACAGCGCAGATAGCCCATTGTGTAGCTTTGTGCTTAATAGCCTATTATCAGCAGGTCAGTACTTTTTTATGACATACAAGACATAATTTATATGAAAATTTGACCGCTTAGAAGCTGTGTTATAAATATGATTTATTTTATGAAGTTTGCTTTTAGAGTACTCGTCATTGAACGTTAGGAACATCTAAAAACATGTTTTCCGTTTAGGGAAATAATCATCCGAAACAGAAAAAACACACACACACTAAACAACAACAACAACAACACGAAACGAAGATTATGTATCAGAAGGGGTTCTTTCTTCGCAATAAATAAATAATAAAATGTACGATTATCGTTATCCTAATACTGTAGCGGGTAGAGGATTTTTTTAAGAATTTCGCGCAAAACTACACAAGGGCTATTTGCCCATAGTCACCCTAATTTTGAACTGATACAATAGGGGGGGGGGGACTGCCAGTCAACAGCACCCACCGCCAACTATTGGGTTACTATTGTCGAATCGAAAAGTGGTGTTTGACAACCACTCTTATATAGCGCACCCACAACTCCAAAGTGCGAAGCGCGCTCTTTTTTTTTTTTTGTCGGCAGTGAGTCACGGACTTTGAATGTTTGGATTCACAGACCAGACACGTTAACCACTAGGGCACGCTCGGCCCAAAGTGTAGAGGAGAATATACAAAACTCACACACACACTGACACCATGCACCTGTTACTTGATAGCGCTCTTGTAGTCCCGGAGTCAAAATACGAAACAGCTAAATATTTCCCGCGTGCACGCACACTTTAATAGTTTCGTCACGCCGACAACCTTCACATTTAACCTTGCTCATATTTTACTCGAGAGATTTTTCAAAGTTAATATCGAAGTTACGCCTTTTTTCTTTTTTGTTGTTGAAGGCTGAAAGATTATTATAAGCATCTTGCTAACCCTTTGAATAAATTAACTAAAGAAATTACCAGCCTCACTATTTAAACTATTAAGGAACCTTACCTTAGTATTTCTACTTACCAGCTACCACGGGTTAAATATAAAGAAACAAACAAACTGCTACGGATTTTTAATCCTCAAACTAAAAGTTTACGATTACTGTTTTCAAGCCAATGGTGTACACATTTCTTCAAAGTTAAGAGCGTTATCTTAGTTTTAATATGTTCCGAAGTAAAAGTATACGCGCGTCCTATTTTGCCAATTCTGATGCATAAATAGGTTTAACCACCACATGTATCTCCATTCGAATCCTATGTATAACCTGAATCCACTTCAAGTATGTATATATAACCTAAATCCACTTCAAGTATGTATATATAATTTGAATCCACTTCAAGTATGTATATATAACCTGAATCCACTTCAAGTATGTATATATATAACCTGAATCCACTTCAAGTATGTATATATATATATAACCTGAATCCACTTCAAGTATGTATATATATATATAACCTGAATCCACTTCAAGTATGTATATATATAACCTGAGTTCACTTCAAGTATGTATATATAACCTGAATCCACCTCAAGTATGTGTATATATAACCTGAATCCACTTCAAGTATGTGTATATATATATAACCTGAATCCACTT